TCTCTAAGAAGTAATGATTTTCTGTATCCAAAGCACAGACTTGCTATTTTTGAAAAAGGCTGCTACTATTTGTGCCTATTCTTCTTTAACCTCAAAGCCTCAAAATATTAAAGTTTCATTGCATTTATATTCTATAAAATCTTATAAAAATAGTATATTAAAGTACAAGTTGCAGAAGGCCACATATTCTCGCACGAATTCGAAATTTGGCCTCGAGCGACGAAGGAGCGAGTGGACGAACGAATGAGTGCGAGAATAGCCTTCTGCAACGTGTGGTTTATACTATTTTCTCGATTTTAACTTTTATTTAGGTTTTTTTAATGTTTTGTGGTCGTTGTTAGTTGGGGGATTTTTCTCGCAAAATGTCAGTTGGCAACACAAAATGACAGTTGCATGGACAGGTAGATTTATTTTTATTTACTATTTATTAATAATCTGTCTGTATTTGTCAACTGGATAATAAGGTTTTGTGTAAGTATTGTATTATTTTTTAATGTTTTCTGATATTTTTGAACAATTGTGTCTACTTTTAGCAGTGAAAAATGTCACAGGAGGTTTTACAAGCAACACTGAACATTACAATAAAAGTTTATAAAAATTGTGCTAGTGATTAATTTATAGTAGTTTTGTGTTTTGTGTACTGTGGGTATATAATATTTCCAATAAAATATAGTTTGATTGACCTGTTTGGCTCATTTATTTGTCAATATTTGTTATCCTGCACAAGTACAACTGAACTGCACTTTTTCACATTAAACTTAAAATTTTGCATTAAAATGCATTGTTGCAGCAAACTTAATATAACAAAACAATAATAAAGGCTTCATTTTCAATAAAAGTGTAGTTCAGGTTGCACTAGTGCAGGATAACAAACAAAGCTATTATAAATAATCCTAAAAGTAATGAATTTGAGGTTATTAAACAGTTTGACATTTTGGGGGGTACCAATACTTAAAAACTAAATGTTACCAAAAATCGTTTAAGAATGAGCTTCATTCTTCAACGATTTTGCGTGCGAGAATATGACATTCTTACATAAAAATCGAGAAACTTATTTTTGATTACATTCTGGAAAAAGAACCCTATTCTCAGGGCCGAGCCGTGCCGGGGGTGCAAGGGGTGCATGGCACCCGGGCGGCACTAACACAGGGCGGCAAAATATTATCAAAAAAATTGTATCAAATTATCAAGAATAAAAAAGCCACCTTGCAATATGCAAAAAACTTTCTAAAAATCACTTGCGTTTTATTGATGTCGGCGTTTCAAGGAATCATCGTTTTTATTTTACACATAAAAAAATGCCAAAATTGTGCTGTCAGGCGGCAATGATAAAAAAGACATAATCGAACGCGCGATAGCCACAAAAAATTATGATGAAAATTCCACACCTGTAATTTTTAACCAATCAAAACGTGTATTTTTGATAGATCTCCATGGCAACGGTTGAATTTTAGTGGAAATTTTTTCCTCGTGGGTACCCAACAGCGAATTATACTGGAAATTTTTTGACGTTTATAATGACAGAATATTTTTTTGACAATCTGGTTTTTATTTGTTTACATGATAATTTTGATACATTTCCATTACAAAGTTTAGATGTTTTCTATATTCGTTGGACACCTCCTTTCTTCTTAATGGCGAAAATGCAGGACTTGAAATAAATTAAATGTCTATGTCTAATGAAATATATATAATATTTAGACACTATTCTATTCACCTTTTTTTCCATTTAGCACTTTGAGTTTTGAATAGTTAAGATGCAAATATTCGTGAACAATTCAAAACAAATTTTCTTTCTTCAAGTAGGAGCCACAATCCTCTAATAATGCGGGTAAATAAGTCATTGCACGATGATTGATCATTACAGCAGACAATTTCACATTTTTTTACGTCGTGCCGCTTGACAGCTTCAAAACTGAAATAACTTTTAGGTTGGGGTTGACTTAGTTGCCATGGTAACTAAATAATCAAGTCGAGGTCAAGTTAAATCAAAAAATAAATTTTAATTATTTAAACACAATTTGGTGTGGAATTTTCTTACCGAATACCACACGAGGTCAAATTAAATCCGGAAATTTTTTCTCCCTCATGAATATTTTTAGAAAATTATCCCTCGTCTTCGACTCGGGATAATTTTCAAAATATTCATGAGCTCGAAAAAATTTCCGGAAATAATTTGATCTCTAGTGGTATTACTAGTGACAATTTTCTTAAAGCCCGGTTTATAGATTACCGCCCGCCCGCTTCGCTTTCCGTCCGTCCGCTTCGAGTTCGTCAAGTTTCATGTTTTACGGAAGCGGGCTTACAGGAAACCATATTGTTTAAAAGCTGAACTGTTAAGTTAAAGCATAATTTCTTCCAAATTGACGGCTGCGTATTTCAGCATGCAATTTTTAGTTTTTCTATTAACGTAAGGCAAATAGGATGCAAACATAGTAGTTTCTTTTGTCTTTTAATGCTAAACTTAAAAACTAGTTAATGATTTAAAAGGCATCTTTCCGAATTTATTTGTAGCTTTAAGAATATTTTTAACGATGCCAGTTAACTAGTTACTGTTGCCCATGGAGAGCGGTCATTTTCGAAATTAAAACTAATTAAGACCTATTTAAGAATCTTAAATTAAGATCCAATATAAGTCAATTCAGGCTTTCAAATTTGGATTTTAGTTTTTTAATTTAGTTTAATTATTTTTGTTTTTTTTTCCTGAATGTATTTTTATTTTATTCTTTTATGTATTTGTTAATAAATACTTTGTTATTTTACTATAAAATTTGTTATATGTTTATTGAGAATGATAAATTATGAACTCCTTCCCTACCGACAACCTAATTTTTTACATTAATGGGGGCGGCAAATTTAATTCTTGCACCCGGGCGGCAGATACCCTAGGCTCGGCCCTGCCTATTCTTTAAATGAGTTTCTAAATTAACCAGTCCTTTGTAATAATTAGTAGGTATTTTATTTATACAATGTTTTATTTTTGCAATATTTTATGTATTTATATAAATTATTCTCTTTAAATACCCATATGTACATAAATCTTATAAGTATACTTATGTATGTTTGTTTGTGTATGTCTGAATTTAAATTTAAAATTACTTTAATTATATACCAAAACTTTCTTGACACAATTTTCTTTCTTACTGTGTAAAATGTAAAAATAAATTTATTTATAGCCTTAAGGCTATTATTATTATTATTATTATTTAAAAAGTAAGGTAATATATGGACGTAGTTCTGCAGAAAAGAACCAATCCAAAAATTAGAAAAAAAATAAATGGGTCCGTATTTATTAATTATAAATAACAATAAATGTCATCGCACCTGCCACGCACAAATTTTAAAACATGTAACTTTACTGTGAATGTGTATACGAACACACGTGTGCGATATGCGAAAATGGTCTCATCGCGTGCGCCTAAAACTCACGCGTTACTTAATTTTGAATGCGTAATAGCGCGCACGCGTGAGACCGCACGTCATGCGTTTTTCGTGCGACGCACTATTGCTATCTGGGTAAAAACGCACTATGTCCAAATATTTCTCTATTTTCTTTGATAATATTACTATTATTCGTGTATTCGCAAGGCAACTACTCATCAAGTGACGTCATGCGCGGCACGAACCAAAACTCATACACGGGAGCATCCAGCCCTGGTGTTGGACCAACTGCTGAACATGCTGAAAATTAGTGAAGGGACTATTCGAATACAAATAATCGAAGTATTCGATTCTGGCGTGCATTCGAATGCATTCGATTCTCAACAAAGTATTCGAATACTTCGAACCTTTCGAATCGAATCGAAAGCGCTTGAGTGTCATCGAGCGGAAGGTGGGAGACAAACAAAATAATAAAAAGTAAATCATGCTTAACCAGTAACTAAAAAAATATATAAAAAGTAACTGAAAAAATATATAAAAAAGTAACAAACTAGGTAACTAATAATTATTCTACAAAACGTTTTTTGAAATAAAACAAATTAAATATAATATAGTTTATGCACGATGACATTATAATATGACAATTATAACAAAAATTCTTTGACGTAAACGTCTTTTTATAGCCCGCGGGCGTTATTATGGCCCAGCGGGCTATAATGAAACGTCAAAAATTAAAAACAACAATGTTACACCATTTGATATATTCGAAGTAAGTTTTTTCGTATAAAGATTTTGATTTTACCTGCAGCAGGCCGCAATTTTTCGCCTTTTCAGCTGCTTCCTCAATTTCATTTATCTTTAAACTTTAAAACTGACTGATGTCAGTTGACATTATAATATGACAATTATAACAAAAATTCTTTGACGTAAACGTCTTTAAAAACAATAATATATTAAAAATAATAATATATTAATCGTGCATAAAGTTTTGTATGCATTGCTGGCATAACTGGTTTTTATGGTCCTACGACGCTTTTCTAGCCCTCGCGCTGACGCGCTCGGGCTCGAAATAGCGCCTCGGACCATAAAAATAGCGCCTCGGACCATAAAAACCTTATAACATAAATAACTATTATGTTTTATGTCAAAAATAAAGAAAGCATGTCATAAATCAATTAGTAGGTATATCAGCCGGTTTAGAATTTATATTGCATCCAGTGCGAAGCCAACCCGCTCAGCCCATAACGAATTGTAAACAAGAAATAAAATGACCATTAGAATACAGAGAATCGAATAATATGTTCCGAAAACATTCATTCAATAAATGTTTTCGGCTATTATCGGTTCCGATTCGGAACAAACTATTCGATTCTCTGCATTCGAATGATCATTCAATTCTTTAGAGTATTCGAATGCAAAGTATTCGATTCTAAAAATCATTCGATTCTCCCTTCACTACTGAAAATATGGAAGATATAGATCTTCAGATGGCATTTGATATTTTGTTGGAGGATTTTAAAATACTTTTTGACAAGCGGCAAACTACATCAAACAAATCAGAAAAAAATAAACCAGCTAAATCACTCGCTGAAGTGTATACCAAGAATACCAAAGAAGTAATGACTGTTAAACAGGTTATGAAAAAATTGAACAATATGAAAACCAAAGTAAAAGAAGCCACAGACCTTAAAAAGACGGGTAATAAGAAAATTGTACCAACGGATTGGCAAAAGAAATTTTATGCTATTTGGAATAACGAGGAAGTTCAGGGAGCGAATCCTGTGCTGTATAAAGCACCAGGTAAGTTGTTTATACTTTGTTCATTTATTTATCAATTTAGGTAGTCACAATAAATGATATAGGTGCAGTAACATCCGGCTATTCCATGCCATCCACTAGCAAATCAAGTAATTCAACATTACTATCGCCTCCTGAAAAGAAGAAAAAGTTACAAATAACTAAAATCAAAGAACGTGACGAGTTTCAAGGATATTCTTTGCAGCACTTGCAAAGAATGTGCTTAATTCAACAAATTCAGGCCGATTGTGCCCAAGAAAGTGCTGCTATTGAAATGAAGGAATATTATCAGTTGAAGATCAATCAAGAGAACTCAATAGTACTTTATACTGAACCTTTACCTGTTGTTAATAATAATGACGACTGAATTATTGTGATACTTCATTAATAATAGATTATTACATGTTACTTCCCTAACTAAAATAAGTAAGAAAATAAATATTTTGTATTTAAATAATGTTTAGTTTACATTCGTCACATGTAAAAAAAACTCACCTTTGTTCGGCAAGGATTCGCCGAGAAACAGCATCCCGTTTTTGCTGACCTGCACGACGGAAAACTGCCGCACAATCAGCTTTCAACGCCATACAAATAGTTGCTCCTTCGTAATCAATATCGTAAAAATCGTCGTCAGGATCCTGAAAATATTAAGCAACATTGTGCAGTATGAATACTGCTAATATTCGCAGAGTGTAATTAAGCATTGGGAATCGCCTTTTCAACTGTCCAAAGCAGCATTAAATTTTAACGCTCTTTGAGGTGCTGTCAAGGGATTTTTATAAGGTACCAATAACCATGAAGCAATACCATATCCTTCATCCCCTAGCAAATACGTCTCATTATTAATCCCAGGAAAAAATGCATGAACTTCGGAATTTCTCCAAACTCTGCTGTCATGCAAGCTTCCTGGCCATGATGGATCGACAGACGTAAAAATTCCTTTATAACTGCATGTAGCCTGCACATTGATACTACTAGAAATATTCTTCCCCATGAATTTTTGGCTTTAATATTCTAATGTGAGTACAATCTATCGCTCCTATTGCACCAGGCATCGTCCATCCATCTTTGGCTAATTCAATTTCACGGGCGTTTTGGGGAAAATAAATCCAAACATTTTTCTTTAACACAATTTTTTGTGCAACTTCTTTAATATCTTTTGACACTGTTGTTTGATGTACCCCAACTCCTTGTTGAAACCCAGGATCACTTAGAGTTCTTAAAAATACCTCAATTTTCGTTATATTTGATAAAGGTGCTCCCCTCATCTCAACATGATTTCCTAAGAACTCATTGGCTATCCATTTAACCTTGTTTGCATTGAAGCTAAACGTACATTGCTTAATAGTAGCAGCTATAACTAAAATATAATTGACTTGCCGAAATAACTTTCTGTATTGTACGTTCTACGTTCACATATTTCCCTCCTCCTGCAACCATAATTTATAAAAAAGCCATTTTCAACATTTTATCAATGGATAGTTTATAAGAAGTAACTGATCAGTAATTTCTTATAAACTACATCAAACACTCCCAAATGGAGGTAATACTAGACAATATTAGTAAATTCTGCAATATAAACTTCTATATATAATTAAATAAAGCAAAGCATAGAGTAATTGCACCCGGACAACAATCGGGATTTCCTGGTGAAGTCATGATGATATCACAACGTGATTTTTTTTATCATGCTGTGATATCCTAAGTGCATACACATGCTTCATCACAATGATATCATGTAGAACTCACGGTGTGATATTTGCAAAATTTGCGCATTTTGCGCATGCGTATGAGCCCTGCGAACTGCGAATTTAAAACCTAGTTTGTTATTCACATTACACCGGTATAATTTATAAAACGTTGTTTGAATATCACGAATGTTGTCCGGGTTTAATTAAAAAAGATATTCCAATTCCATTGGAATATCTTTTTTAATTAAACCCGGACAACATTCGTGATATTCATACGAACATCATGTTGTGATTTTCACAAATTTTACTCATACTGATATCATACGGAAGTCACCGCGTAATAAATGAAAATCATACAAACGTCACGTCGTGATTTTCACAAATTTTATTCATACGGACATCATCTGGATGTCACTGCGTGAGAATTGAAAATCATGTCGTGATTTTTTATGCCAACGGTGTTTGGATAATCATTTTTGCGCCACGTTCGTACCCTTAGAGAAAAATTATGTTGAATCAACAGTTTTTGCGGTTAAATACATTTAATATTTTCTTGGATTTAAATTAACTATATATATGTAGGAATACTTTTTCTCTCAATGTACGAATGTGGCGCAAAAATAAATATCCAAACACCGATGGCATAAAAAATCACGACATGATTTTTTGTGCCATCGGTCAATCGCAAACAGCGATGGCATAAAAAATCACGACATGATTTTCATTTCTCACGCAGTGACATCCGGATGATGTCCGTATGAATAAAATTTGTGAAAATCACGACATGACGTTCGTATGATTTTCATTTATCACGCGGTGACTTCCGTATGATATCAGTATGAATAAAATTTGTGAAAATCACGACATGATGTTCGTATGAATATCACGAATGTTGTCTGGGGCACCAAGTACTTACTTTAGTATTAGGAACTATATGAATTATATGGAGTAAATTCTATAATTTTTGAAGTGAAAACTACAAAATGAAGCATTTACTTGAAGTAAAAGCAAATACTCTTTTCAAACCACCCAATATTTGGTGATTTTTTAACTACATAACAGTGGCGGCTGGTGGATTTTGGGTATACCGATAGATAGATATTGAGATCAATTATTAGATATGGGACCCACACCAAATTTATATGAGTTTTTAATGACATTAAATAATGATGGAATTGGTGGAATTATAAGCACATGCATGTTCGAAAAGACGCTTGTAATCCCACCAATTCCATCACATGGGCCTTTACCATATGGTAATACTGCACATGTGCAGTTACATGAAAGTGCCACTCAGCTGCGATACCAAATCATTTTCACTTCACAATGAACTGCTGGGCGCGCCCGGGCGCACTGGGTGTTGGTCGCGTCGCCTTCGACGCCTTAATTCCCCGCCTTAATACACTCCGCGCCAGTATAAAGGTCATTTTGAAGGGAAAGCTTTTTACCTTTCTTTAAGGCTAAATTAAAAGAACATAAGAACTGTCGAATTTTGAAAAAAAATTATTAAAAAATATAATTTATATTTAATATCGTAAAAATTGATTATTTTTTTCGAAAAGTAAATTTAATTAATAAAAATGAAACGTTTTGTAATACTTTTATTAGTTTAGAATTAAAATGGTTACAAGGAGTGAATTAGATATATAAAATATATTAAAATTAAAAATACCAGATCTATAATAACACTGCATTTAACTTAATACAATTATTAGGTACAGGTTTTTTACAATATACTTAGTTACAGTATATAGCATGCAGTATGTATTTAATACACATTATTTATAAAGTACCTATGATAGCATGTTCAAAAAGTTATAATTTTTTCAAAAAGGGAATTGTTTGTTTTGTAAGGTATTTACAATACCTACTGCATATTGCTAAAAATATCTAATATCAAATATTTTTCAGATATGTTATAAAATAGATGATCTTTTTTTACTTTAAATGCCTTTAGGTAACGAAATACAAAATATATTACATTTCTGGTTAACAAACAAATCGATTATTTGTTATTTATTATTACAATACAAAATAAATTAGTAAAATTAAAATTACTTTTTACAATGGAGTATTCATAAAATACATGTTTTGCTCTGGCTTAAACAAATCACAAAAAGGGATAAAATGTCTTATTTTTCGAAAAAAATATTATAATTATATTAACATGTAAATATTGCCAGCATTTATTCTTTTAAATTATAATTTGTGATGCTTTTATTTTTTTTAAATAATATGATTATCTCTTGTAGGTTCCCAGGTACGATCGACAATTGGGGCAGATGTGGTCCACATTCCTACATTTTTCCATGAAGCAAGGAATTAAACAACAACCAAATGGACATCTAAAAAAATATATGAATTAAATAAAAAATACCATTATACACTTAAAATTTAATAAATTATAATTGAATCGGTTAGATTAAGAACAGTACAAGTCCAAAAATTTTATTTTGACACATCACTTTCTAAAATCAATCAAAAAATTTAAAATGCTTTTTTGAGAGAAGATATAAATTATTTTATAAAATATGATTATTATATTTTATAATGTACCTAGTTAAATATTTCCACAAAAATATATTTTAAAAACTGATTTCCTAAAATAATTTGTCAAAATTTTAACTTTTGGACTTGTATTGTTCTTAATCTCACAGATTCAATTATTCAAAAGTTGATACAAATTAACAAGTTTGTGTGGAAAAATGGCATGGTGTATTAATTATTATGGGATGGATTAAAATATATTGTTAAAAATTTACTTTTTAATTGAAAGAATAGGCTACTGATTAATCAAAACGTATATTATTTATAATTGGTTTTCCGATGCAGCTAAATTAGTAAAAGTTTGAATTAATTTATCATTTTTTGTAAGTCATTTGATTTAATTTAAAAGTTTAATTAATAAATTTATTTATTATAAACTAAAAAAAAAACTTTAAATTAACCAACTAGTTGCTATAACTTAAGATTTAATTTAAAAGTTATTTTTTACTATAATTTTACTTTAAAACTAACTGATGAGTGAAACAATACTTCCAAGTTAAATAAATGGTTAATTTTTAGTTAATTGTAACTTTTAAAATAACCTTACTTTTTGCTTAGTTAATAAGTAGGTTATTTTAGAAGTTATATAACGTTATATTAACTTTAAATTTTAACCAATAAAACTGGTAAAGAGTAGTTAATTTTCTTGTTATATTTTGGTTCATTTTAACTATAAATTGAACCTTTTGGTGTGTTATTTTAACTAAATGGTAAATTAATGCTAATTAACCAACTCGTTAAAAAAGTGATGTTTTTGGAGTTTTCATTGTTACCTACATAGAAAAATAATACCAGTTGGCTTTGTGTTTTGTGTGCTTATTCTTGGGTTTTATTTCTTATTCATTTAATCATTTCTGTGTTCTTATTATAGTGTTATAATGAAAAACAAACGTGGTAATTTTAAAGTTTATAGATATTTGAACGCCACACACACTGCAACGTTTTCCAGAACGTTCGGCGGGAATTTATTTTAGGTTAGTTATTTTGAAAATAACAAGTTAGTTTAACTTAACTAAATTTTGGTAATTTTTGACTATAATGTGTTAAATGTAACCAAATTGAAACCAAAACCAAAGAGTTATAAATTACTGATGTGTAAATAAAGTAGTTAACTTAAACGCAAGGAAATAATAATGGTTTAAATAAACTTGCAGGTTAATATATATTGGCCTTGCGAATGTCTTGCCTGATCGTTTACATGAAGCAAGTTTGGCTAATATAATATATTATGCAAGTTATCAATGAAAAAAATAACTTTAATTATATGTTTGGCAAGTTTAAATACAAAAAACATACAAATTATACACAGTATCACAATACAAAATAAAAGAAAACAACTTAAAACAATAAAAAGTTACCAGACTTGCAAGGATCTTGAATGGAAAATAGCACAGGTTCTATTTATTTCGTCTTGCAAGAGTGTTGCCTGGGCGCATGCGTACAGTTACAAACTTTCTTGCATTGCTCTTGCCTTGCATGAAACTTGCGCCGTGTAAAGCACTAAACCAATTAGTAAAAGCATCCTATAATTGCTTGCTGTTCATTTTACAAAAGGAAATGCCATTAATTTTGATTTTTGATTTTTATTTCAAAAATAAGGTAATTTAAATAAACTAATAATAAAAAATAGTATTATTTTATGTTTGAAAGTATTTTAAATCAATTTTAAGTAAAATAAAAAATAAGTAAGCAAAAAAAATATTTTTTTTAATTTTTATTTTCTTTATTTCTTATTCTTTTTTGAGCTCGTTTAAAATATAAAAGTATTATGAGGCATTTCAACAGAAAAAAATTTGCCCCATTGGTTTTTCTCCTAGAACTACCTCTTTTAAATATTAAAATGAAGGGGAGACATTTTATTTAAAATCTTAAGACACATAGATCTATGTATACTTGGTGTAGTATAATATACCTACTTGGTAAATTATAATTAGGTATATTAAGTTAAAATAAACTTAAAATGGTTGGTTTTTTCAATTTAGTTTATGTTGACAAGAGTTAAAAAGCAGTAAAAAAAGGGTAAAATTAACCAAAAATTACCAAATATTAACTTTTTTTAACCGACAGGTATATTAACCAAGAAGTTAAATTTACTTAACATAACGTTAAATTAACCATGATTTTTATTCCCCACTTATTACAAAATAACGTTAATTTAAGGTTAATTTAACGTTATAGCACAATATAACTTAAGTAAATTAACCAGACAGAACGTAAATTTAACGTTAATTTAACCAGTTGTGCTACTTGGGTATGGTCTACCCTGTATTATAAATAAATTTTTATAGGCTACTTTTGACAACCACTGTTTATATAAATCAATATTATTTTTCTTTGGAATAAGCATCGATTTTGTCAAAATTAACAGTTTTATATGACATATTTTTAAGCAAACAGAAACATTTAATAAAATCATTTCTTAAAATATTATAATTACATAGCTGTAATACATACTACATAAATATGTCCATTTACAAGAACAAACCATCCGTTAATGCTATTTCCTGTTAATATTTACTCGTATCATTAAGAAAATTGACATTTTGGACTTGCGCGCTATAGCGGTACGCCGCGGCGCGCCGTTTTAGCATTTATAAGATAATAGTTTAAAGATTAAAGTTTGTAACTTTAATGATGTTTTAATAGAAATTTACATTTACAAGTTTTTTTTTTAAACTCAAAACAGCATTTATAAGATAATAGTTTAAAGATTAAAGTTTGTCACTTTAATGATGTTTTAATAGAAATTTACATTTACAAGTTATTTTTTTAAACTCAAAACAATTAAGACAAAAAATATTTTAAATATAAACTGAAACTGAAAGGTTTTTAAAATTTATAGTTCCAATATTTTATTCTACAAAATTATCGGTTAAAATTTGTCATTTACATATATGATAGTCGGCAAATTTTAAATACATTTAAATGTAATATGAAAATTTTTGTAAGTTTAAAATTTGGTAATTTTTGGATTAAAAATTTATATTTAAAATATTTTTTGATTATCAATTATTTTGAGTTTAATTTTTTTTACTTTTTAAACTATTTTGGTAGAAAATGTTTTATATATGTTTTTATTTTAAATGTCTCGATACTATGTTTAAATACTAAAAAATTTAACTTTACCAATTTATTCTGAACAATTTTATAAAATATTTATTTAAGATTTACAAAAATCTGCCCAAATAAATTATACTTGAGAAATTATTTTTATTAAAAAATGAAATTTTTGCAAAAATTGATTGAAAATAATATTGTTTAATACAGAAACTAATACTAAACATGAAAGTTGAAAATATTTTAAATGTTAAAACGGCGCGCCGCGGCGTGCCATAAGTTTTCCAGAAAAGCAAACATTTAAACCAGTAATAATTTAGCGGGTCATATATTTATTTTTTAAATAAGTATAATAAAAACAATGTACGTCACAGGGGTACAATCAAAAAGACTTGAGACTGTAAAGCTTCTTGAGTACAATAATTGTACAATAATTATTAATAAATTCCAAAAATAAAAAACAAATGTCTGAGTTAAACTTTTAATATTTTAATTAAACCATTCAAAATATTTGTTTAAATAAAATTGTGTATTTATAAATGTAGTATAAATACACAATTTTATGCAAACAAATATTTTGAATGGCTTAACTAAAATATTAAAAGGTTATTTTTTTAAACCAAATGCTCATGATTAAAAATTTAAATATTATAGCATTTTGTCAAAGAAATCATTAAAGTTTCATAATTTGGATACAAGTGATCATGGGCGGATTTAGTTATGGGCTTTATGGGCTGCACCTCTGGGCCCCTACGCGGAGAAAATTTAAACAAATTAAATTAAAGTTAATAGATCAATGGACTAAAATGATCGGAACAGATATGTTCTGGTTAATTATGAATGCCTTTTATAATTGTATGTTAAATGTACTCGTTCAATAGTTATTATAATAGAATATATTAGGGTGTCCCTTATTTTTATTTTTTTTACCCATACCCTCTAATTATGTTTATTACTTGTTTATATACTCCCAGTAAAAATTTCAGCGCATTCTATAAACGGGAACCCGTGCCGACTTGCATCTAAAATCTCCGTTAGCCAACGTTAGGCGCGCGCGGTATTTTGTAACACGAAACACTTTAAAAAGAAGATATACTTTATGACTGTATTTTTCTAATGATTTTATTAAATATGATTACTAATTAATATTATTGCTTTTGTTTCTAACATTTGTTTCACTAATTTAGTTGATTTTATCCCTTAAATATATTAATATACTAATTAGTATTGCTAAAATATACTGTTAGGTACATGAAATTTCAGCTTTTTATAAGCAATTCTTTTCTTGATGTCCTCCCAAAAATATTTCAGACAGTTCAATAAGTTTTCGGTAGTCATCTCTCACAATAGACTCTTTTTGTTATTTAGAGTAAAACCCATTAAGTTTATCAATTTCAGAGTTTACGGCCTATTCACCAGACCCTTCCGGATAACTAGTAACTCCCTGTGAAAATATACATTTTTATCAAAGTATACACATAAATAAAATTATATTTTAACATTTGTCAATAATTTATAATATAAGGGTCAAATAATAACAAACACAAAATGACTTACGATCGAAGACCTCGCGACCAACCGTGTTACAAAATACCGCGCGCCTAACGTTGGCTAACGGAGGGTTCAGATGCAAGTCGGCACGGGTTCCCGTTTATAGAATAAGCTGAATTTGTTTTATATTATTTTTGTTTGGTGCTGTACATAGATAGATGTTTCAATTTGTATTTGCTTTTCCACACCGTCCTAGCCTATTATTTATGTAGGTGAATAATATTAGAAAAATGATAATATTTCGAGATGTGCGACACATATGCATGTCTGGATTGTATATGTGGGTTTTTAAGGTTTTACCTTATTAACTTAAATCGATGATAATTTTTAAATATGTTTTTTTATATTATTAATGTACAGTAGCAATAATATTAACTCTTGTATTAATTGTTGTTAATTGTTTTATGAATAAACTTATTTTAATTTAATTTTTACATATCAAGAACCGTATTCACAACAAAAAGGGGTCCTAATGTAATTTCTTTAAACTAGACGAGTTTTGGAAAAAGCTAGTTTTTTGTGGTTTTATTATTCGTTTCTTATTATTAACTTATGCCCCTAGCCCCGTTCGTACAGTAGTTTTATAAAATTGAATGAATATTTATGTAAAAAATAAATGATCTACAAAAAAGGTCATATGACATTTTGTAATAATGGTTTTACGGAAAAGTAATAAAAACATTAATTTTAAATGAGTATATTTATTATTAAATAATAAGAGACCTTATTTGTGAGCGTTTTATTTTCTATAAAAATATGTTTTATGAGCTCAAAAATTTAAAAAAATCCCATGTTATTTAAATAGATCGATCTCTTAGTAATAATAACAGGCTCCTGAAACTTTTGAATTAAAAAAAAATAGTGTTTTTTGGAAACTTTAAAGGCCTCTAGGTAAGTTGGATTGAATTGAACTAAAGAGTTATTTTTCTTGGTTTTTATTTTTGACATGAGTTTTGTTTTTATTTCTTAATAAAAGTTATGCCTTTAATATTTATTTTATTTATGTGGGTCCCACGAAAAAATTAAATCCGTTTTTTATTATAACTGTAAAAGTGAATATAAAAAATCTTTTTAAAAAAATCCAAACTTGTTTAGGCCTCAAACAGCTTTAGCCCAGGGCCCCCAAAATAAACCTCGACGTTCTCTAAAAATAAATCATGTTACTCCTGTACACTTGAATCAATGTTTACTTTATTAAACTTTATATTATTTTAGATTATATGCACACAAATAAAAAAAGCAAATTAAGAATTTACCAAGCCGTTCTTCAAGACAAGAATTATTGCAAAACTATGAAGATTATTGTTTTACCTTGTTTTTAATAGTGTTAATACAATAAAATATGTAAATCAATTTTATTGTCATAAATTTCATTTTATTATTGTAACATTTAATGGGATGTAAATTTATTAAAATTATTTTTTATTTTATTTCTTGATCACTAGACGACAAATTGAAGAAAATATCCCTGTCCAATATCAAAATCAAAACTTTACATATAGTGAATTATACAATACGTTACTCGTCAAGTATTGTAGCGTCCGTAATAATAAAAAATTGTGAGTTAAAACTACTTTAATTATTATGCTTACAAGCATAATAAACATTGTTGTAATAGTACCTAAATATTGCAATAGTATTTAATTTAATTAAGGTAGCTTTTACTCACAATTTTTTATTATTAGGGACGCTACAAAAATTGCCGAGTAACGTGGAATGGCTGTGAAATAAAAAAATAAATAATTTAATTTCAATTTCTACCTCTGAAAATCCTGCTAACTTTTAAATTAAAAAAAAACTTTGTTGGGAGTTTTTAATATCTGGAATTAAAATAATTTTAAATATTTATTAAAAAACCATTCCGACTTTTTTTGTAATAAAGCCCACATTTTTAAATTGTCAGCTCGAAGTCCAGTTAAGAATAAAATATACCTACTATATCGATTTTTCATTGCATGATTTGAAGTTTTTTCAATTTATATATAAATTATTATAATTTGTTTTAAATTAGTAAATATTAACATAATGTGCTGCAATCGATTACTGTGTAGAGTAATCATCTATAGACTATAATCTGTAGTTGGCATTAAATGATTAATTCAAATAAACGTTTTCAAGGGTCAGTTTTGGTTATATAAATTATTATTAATTATCCAGGCTGAGAATCGATTACAAATAATTAGTATTCGAATGTTCGAGTATTCGAATAGAGGTGGGAATCGAGTATAAATTATTCGAATACTCGATGCATGGAGCCTACACAAGGAGTCCGAACTTCATGTAAAGAAGAATCTTCCTAAGATAAGAGGGCGCTGGTGTTCTGTTTGTACTGAAACAATTGACTAATTTGTACCGAAACGCTACCAAAAGAGCAGACGTCAGTACGCATCGACAATCAGCGCCGCTGGTGATGAAAAAAGACTTAATTTGTGCAATTTAGAGGGTAGGTTTTGTCAATTTCCCCTTTTAAGTTCGGGCTCCTTGTACACGTGTAGGCTCCATGACTCGATCATTCGAATATTCGAGTAATCGAACATTCAAGTCTATATACCCATGGTAATAGGCATGGGTATTAGGAAAAAGTTGCGAAATTTTACTTCGATCAATGATCAAAAAATAAATTAAACTTTAAACTTTAGTTTTCGAGATGTCGTAAAAGACGAGAATTTGTATTTTTTTTATTTTAATTAAGACATTCTTAAGGCATTTTTATCACGGAAAATTTAAATCTGCCAAAAAGTAATGAAAATTATGTATTTAAAAGTACCTAATTACAATGAGTTCAAGATACATATACTCGTACATACATAAAGGGTGGACAAATGGAAAGTTCCACCCCGGTTTTTTCAGGTGTCACGTAAAAATATGAAAAACGCTCGCACACAGCTATTTTAAATTTTAGGGGGACAATTAATTTTTTAAATTTTTTTCGCCAAAATAATATTTCGTTTATAAATGTATATATATTTTTTTTTAGTTCAATTAAAACTCATGATCTATGATTGGTTAAAGTATTTTATTAAAAAATTATATATACGGATTTGAATGTTTGCATATTCAAAATAAAGTTTTTTACAATATCTTGAAAACAAAGGCTAATTAAGCAAAATGATTTTTGGAATCAGCGCATCTAAATTACCCTAGAAGAGTGGTTGTAGAAAAAAAATCATTTTTTCGACCATTTGTAAGATAGTCCAATTCAAAGGGTCTAACCTCCCAGACGTTAAAAAGCTCGACAAAAAATGGGGGAACCTACGTTATAGTAGTACCTACTTCTGATTTTTTTCGTACACTGTTCAAAATCAAGCCTTTTGAAATACCTAATCAGAATTAGTTAAGAAAAAATAAGGTAATATGCTTAAACGAGTAAAGCAATTTACCTTCTTGTTTATTAGGCAGAAACTAATGCCTTTGTTCTATGGTGTATTCACTAACTTCTAGATAAATATTCATACTTTACTTAATAAACTTCTCAAATTTAAAAAGATAGGCAGATTACCTAAATATTTAGTCAAAATCTCAATGACTTTTAGGTACGACAATTTTGCTTTTAATTTAGGTAATTCTTTTAAATTATTATGGCAAATTATTGAACTAATTTAGGTAAATTCCTTTAAAAATTAGTGACTTACTTGCAATCGGCTACGATTGCTAATACCGACGTTTTACGATAAATATTCGCACCTATATTGTCCACCAGAATGCCAAAATCAACGAAAACGTAAAGACCGCGTTGTGTGCTATTGATATAACAACAGTTAACAAATATTGTGCTATAAGTGAACATTTTGAAGTGCTATAGTTAGGTAATCTAAACTAAATGGAATTTTCCATTGACCCCAATTTATTTTTAAATAATCCCAACCCTGTAGTACCGGAACCGCCGTTAATTCGCCTATAGGACATAAAGATAAAGGAGTCCTAACTTGGAAGAAAATTTCTATGCCAAAAGAAACTTTATTAAACTTATAAAGTAGGTATACCTATAAGTTTTATTGTCGTTTTTGTTACTTTTATTTTTTTTATTTATACATATTTATTAATATACATTTTCAATTTAACTAAAATAAATGTATTTTTTATTTTACCCATCAGCACTTAAAAGGGGGATTTATAATGTCATTCTTTTCTCATTTACATTGCTCGATATAGGCATAAACAATACTAGGTTATCGGTAACTTTTTACAATAATATTTAACATTTACAATAGTATATTTCCAAAATAGTATATTACCAAAGCAATGCGTGAGAATAAAAATGACATTATAAATATCTTCTCTCCTTAATGCCCCCACCGCCAATTCTTGTTCCCCTTATATTTTTATTTAATGAAATAGTAGAATTTCACTAGAAAATAAGTTACATTTTACTAGAAAGTTAGTAGAATTTCACTAAAAAATTTGTAGAAAATTACCCGAAAAAAGGGTATATCTAAAAAAATTAGATAAATTTACCGTGAAAAATAAGAGGATTTTCACTAAAAATATATATAATCTACCTAAAAATTTAAGCAAATTGCCTTAGAAACAGGAAATTTATTCTTTTATTCTCAGGCAATATCCCTTACGATCTAAGGTGTATCATCTTTGAAACCTAAGTAATTTTGCCTAATTAATTGTATTATTTTCTTTAAAAATATCAGTTAAAGAATTCACTAATTTAAAAGGGGAATATTCCTCTGAATTCATTTCAGGCAGTTTGCCTTAAAAAATTAATGGTCCTATATAGTCTAATATTTTAGGTAAAAATTAGCTAAAATTTTGAACAGTGTATACATTATTTGGGTGACTATTTTAAGACCTTTTATAAGCAGCCAGACCAACTTAAAGGGCCTAACACCCCAGACACGATAAAAGGTAAGATCTACAGGTAAACAGGTACCTACTAAAGGTATACCGTTATATATGTATGTATACAATGTTTGGTCCGGTGATGTTGGGACACCCTGTATATACAGGAAAACCAGCGCTATTACTTTAACGTAGACGAGTACAATATGTATGTATGTATAGTATAAAGTTTTCCTGTATATACAGGGTGTCCCAACATCACCGGACAAAACTAAAAGGGTCACAAAAAGTATACACAAAAGTGCTCTTTAAGTCTTAAGCCAAATTAATGGCTTGTGCAGGTTAGGGGTAGGAACGAACTGCGGGCTTAAAGTGCCCTCCGAAAGACTAATAGACAATAGACAAACACAAATAAACAACCTTACCAATGTGGAAGTTGAACCCACGACCTCTCGGCTTGTAGTCAGCAGCACTGACCACTAGTCCACCGTCGGCGGTTGCGAAAATCTAAGACCTTTTTGCATTTGCCATTTTTTCAAATATCAATATTAAAAAAGTTTTTCGCCATTTAAAACAAGGCAATCAAAGTGTTGTTTTACCTGTGCTGCCGCGGCAGTAGGTGAGATTCACTCCGACGCTTCTCTTTTTAATTTATTTTGTTTTTTTATGCACACGCAGGGCCGGATTAAAAATGTTAAGGCCCTGAGGCCAATCGTTTTTGCGTACCTAACAAAAACAAAATAAATTAAACAAAAAAAGAGAAGCGAAGAAAAGCTCCAAAGTGAATCCCACCCAGCGTTGCCAACCTTTTCGTTCGAAAGGGGAGTTCTCTAGTGAAATATCCGTAGAAGTGAAGTGAAGGGTAAAATCCGGACATTTATCCGTACCAGGGATCAGAGGTGGCAGGCACCGCGGCGACTTAGAAACTTGGATAGATTTACGAATTTTCACTAAAAATTTTGATTGGTACTCAATATTTATCAGCTGTTTAGTTATTTAGCGCAAGGTGGCGCTTTCTTAGTAGTGCTTGGCGCTTTTAAGATTTACACATTTCATAAATTCATATATTTATAAACAATGTAATTAGATACTAATAGTGTAATACATGTATAAAAAACTTTTAAATGTAAATAGATACCAAAACAAATTTAAAACTTTAGTTGCCATTTTTTTCACAGCATCTTTTTGACAGACAGCACTTTTTCTGGTAACCTGCTGGTAACAAACAAAATTCCTAAACTAATGAGTACGTTCCATGAAACGTTCCATGGGTACGTTCAGTGCAAGGTTTTATACCTGCCGTTTACTGGACGGAGCGAAATAGTAAGAAAATATAAAAAGGGGTTCAAGCAATTTTTTACTTGTCGCAGGTTTTAATACATAAAATATCAAGTAATTATGAATTATGCGATAATGTCCAAATATCCGTAGATTTTCAGACAAAATCCGGTTATCCGTTAATGACCCTTAAAATCCGTAGATCTACGGAAAAATCCGTAGGGTTGGCAACGCTGATCCCACCTACTAAAGCGTCATGCCGGTCCCCGCGGTAGCATAGGTAAAAAAATACTCTGATTGTCTCGCTCAAAAAGACAACAAATGGCAAAGGAAAAAAGGTATTATTTTGCAAGGAACCGACCCCTTAAGTTTGGTCCGGTGATTTTGAGACACCCTGTATATAAGTATGGAGTTTGGTTTTTAATAATATTATGTCAAACATACGAAAACCAGTGATATTACTTTAAGGTAGACGAGTACGATTTGTATGGACCTTTACAATTTGTATGTACCTTTAGTACCTTTTACCTGTAGATATTGCCTTTTATCGTGTCTTGGTGGTGGATTGGTTTGGCTGCTTACAAAAGGTATTAAAATAGTCACCCAAATAATACCTATATATAAATTCAGGAGTACTACTATAACATATGTTCCTAGAGATGTAAAAAACGGTTTTTTCAGATGTGAAAAAAACATGAAAAAAAGACTAGAAAAAAACGGGTTTTTTTATTTTTTTTCAAATCCGCTGCAATAAAGCATATTCTGTCAATAAATAACATAAATCTTAAAAAATTGATTAATTTTTCAAAATGAAATTTTGAGTAAAATGTATATTAATAATAAAGTGAAATGTAGAATACTCGTATATTAAATTTTTCATTATTGAAAATTTTGACCGAGACTAAAAAATCTGATTTTTTATTAACCAATAGCAATGTAAAACTTCTACACTAATAGAAAAAATTAAAGGATAAAAAAAAATTCCAAATTTGTTGCGATTTTTCGGATAGCTGTATCTTCGTTAAAAATGGTCGTATTTGAACCGTAAAAAAAGCTGAGATTTTTAGATGAAAAACGTGCAACCTTCAATATGAACGAATACCGTAATAAAAAAATTCGAAATTGTTTTGGCTTTCTTTTTTGGTCCACGGAATGTTCTGACTTAACCACCAATGAATAAATGTTCTACAAGAATTTGCTATTGTTTTTTTGAAAAAAAAATCCATACTCTACATGAATTTGAAAAATCATGAAAAAAGTGCTTTTGGTAGCTTTTTGAAAAATCTAGCGCTGAATCAAAAATATTATAGGTAGGTAGTTACTTTTTTTAGGACCAAATCAAAACAAGCGCGGCTTTTATAGGTCAATTCGGTGGTGGTGGCGCGTGCAAAGCGCGAGACTGTATTTACATTTACTAAATGTCATTTAGTGGCTAATTTTAGTCTATGAACTGGACTGGAAACATAAAAAATTAGGCAAATGGGACTAATCTTGAAAAAAAACTAATATATGAAAAAAACATATGAAAAAAACGATGAGAAAACCTGAAAAAAAAAACGGACTGTGTTTTTTCAAGTCGCATCTCTATATGTACCCCTATTTTTTGTAGAGTTTTAAAGCATCTGGGGCGGGGTAAGACCCTAAAATAATCACCCAAATAATATATAGAAAATTCAGGAGTACTACTATAACGTAGGTTCAGCCCTTTATTCTCAAGCTTTAAAGCTTCTGGTGAAAGTTACGCACCCTGAATAGCGTCTGGCAATAATAAATGTTGGTTTTTAATAATATTGTGTAAAACATATTTATATTAAAACGTAGACGATTTAGTTATTTATGTATTAAGGGCATAATAAGGTTTTTATGGTCCGAGGCGCTATTTCGAGCCCGAGCGCGTTAGCGCGAGGGCTAGAAAAGCGTCGTAGGACCATAAAAACCAGTTATGCCAGCAATGCATACAAAACTTTATGCACGATTAATATATTATTATTTTTAATATATTATTGTTTTTAAAGACGTTTACGTCAAAGAATTTTTGTTATAATTGTCATATTATAATGTCAACTGACATCAGTCAGTTTTAAAGTTTAAAGATAAATGAAATTGAGGAAGCAGCTGAAAAGGCGAAAAATTGCGGCCTGCTGCCGGTAAAATCAAAATCTTTATACGAAAAAACTTACTTCGAATATATCAAATGGTGTAACATTGTTGTTTTTAATTTTTGACGTTTCATTATAGCCCGCTGGGCCATAATAAAGCCCGCGGGCTATAAAAAGACGTTTACGTCAAAGAATTTTTGTTATAATTGTCATATTATAATGTCATCGTGCATAAACTATTTTTATGTACAGGGTGGTCCACGTAAGGTGACCCATATACTTATCTCAGAAACTACTGGAGTCACAAAAAATTTGTAAGAAACAAATATTCACGAAGTAAAAAATATTTTTAAAATATTATATTTTCATTTATACAGGGTGTTCGGTTTTCCTTGGGACGATACCAACTTTCTTATTTTCAATGGAACACCCTGTATTTTTTTGCATTTTTGGATTCTACCCACTCTTTTAGGTATTCTTTGTAAATATATTAATTGAGAAAATGTTAATACTTTTTAAGTAAAATTAAGATTTATTAAAATTTCTCTAAATGTAGACACTCGCTAAAAGTTAAAAATAATCAACTAAAAGTTATTATTTTTTATATTATGTAGTATCC